GTCGGTCTTCCCCCCCCCTTTCTCACTGCTGCCCGCTGCCAGATTGCGTGAAATGGCCCGGTCATCATTCCTGGACCTCCGTAAAGTCCTCTTAAAAAAAAGGCCACACAAAAGAAGAACAGCACTACAGGGATCAAATTAAAATATAAGGTAACGGATAATTACACCTGCAAATCCCTGCCTCCTTCTCGCTTCAACTTCGTTTAAAAAAAAAAAAAAAAGAAAGAAAGAAAAGAAGTCAGAGCTCTTAAGCGCACCCCAGGGAAGGGGCAGACCCTCAGAAATGTCATCACAAGCCTCACACATCCATCCACGAGACCCTAGAGTGGCCATTTCCACGGAGCTCCCTGGAAGATGGGCGCTCACAGCAATCATAAAGACATCCCTAACCCTTCTCTCCTCGTGATTAGTCCAGGGTGCATCAGCTAGAAGACAATCCTGCTCCTAGATCCCCTAAAACACCGCCTCATAAGAGAGCAACCGCAACAATCATGCAGATAATAAACCTCAAAATCGAAGCCACTGTCGACCACAGCAAACTTCCCAGCCTTCCTTCCCTCCCCAGCTCAGAGAAGCCAACTCTAATGGCCTATGGAAACCTTCATGGCTTCCGCCTCCCCTCCCCCCATGCCCTCCACTCAATATTTTGAAGTCAGTCGGAAGTATATCATGGAAATATACGAAGAATCACTTACTGTTCTGCATGTTGGATTGATAGAGCAGACTCCCACGTGGCTCGCTTATAGTATTCTATTAGCAATAAAATAGGCGTTAATCAGGGGAGGGTAGCACACACAGTTAAGCTGTAGATATGTTCATATCTCAAAAGGCTTACTTTGTTATAGTTAGACTTATTTTTTTTCAATTGATTTAAAGGCTTGGTTCTTTTTACAGCCCAAGGCAAAAAAAAATTAAATTAAAAAAGACAAGCAACCTCCAAATACTTAAAAATCGCATGCAAGTGGTACAATGCATCAGATGGTTGGTTTTGTTTTGTTTTGTTTTTTAATTTATAAAGGCTTTATCTTTTTATTGAGTGGTCTATTATAGGAACAGCATCAACAACCAAAAAAAAAAAGTCTCGAGCCATGTTTTTAAACTTGCCTGAAATCTGGGTGGACTGTCCTCGCTTACAATTTAAGGACTCACACATCTGCGTGTCACTAGTTAAAGTCTTCCCTCTAGGACAAAGCAAAACATGATTAAAAGTGTGGAGAGATACTTGGGTTTGGTTTGGGTTTCTTTTTTTTTTTTCCTTTTAATTTACAGCGCAGCCTCCCAGTAGGATGCAGCCTGAATTGGAGGGCTGAGATGCAAAGTTACAAAAAAATCCGCGTGCGAGCTGCGGAGGCGCTGGTGGCTGCGCGCCCCCGTGCCAGCCCGCGGAGGTGGTGCGGTGACACTCTGGGTGCCTCTATTTACAAACACACCCCGCGATCTTTAGTCAAGGGGAGCGGCGTTGGACCTATGCTCTTTTTAGTGGGAGAGCTTGGCTGGATCACCCTTTGGGGCTTTTTGGCTACCCACTTGCCAGCGAGTTTTCTCCAGCTCACTTTTGCACTTTGGAAGTTGCTCTGGTTGTTTTGTTTTTGGTTTTGTTTTTAAAACAAAAAACAAACATGGTTTTACATGGTCGGAGTTAGGCTTCATTTTTTTTTCCAGTGGCACTAACAACTCCCTCCCCCCCCTCCAAACTCCACTTATTGTGATTAACTTCTTTTTTGGTCTTTAGATCTTCCCCTTTTTCACTGTACTGTGACACACGCTGTCTACCTCGCCTCAGTGCTTTAAAAAGTAAGAACAGGAGGGGGTGAGAACTGTTAAACAAAGCCTACAGAATGTGAACAATGGCCTCCATTCTGTCCCTCTACCCAAACCCAGAGTGCGAAAACCCAGTCTCCTTCACCGGCAGCGCAGCTTCCCAACTAAACGTACCAACAACCCTCCAACTTACAAAGAGGAGAGAAACAACCCCTTCTCCCTTCATTAGTGGCTGCCTTGACCCAGCGCCTGGACAACCCCAAGAACCTCCTCCCCGCGCCACCTCTCCT